GGCGCTGCTGTTGCAGGCGCGGCCGCGCGTGCCTGGAGAGCCTGTGCGCCGGTTGGGGGCGCAGAAGTCGGGCGAGTCGGCGACATAGAGTAGGTCAGCGCGACTCGGAGGCTTGAGATTGCGGACAGCGGGCAGCAGAGCCTTGCCATCGTTGGTGCCCATGACACGCGAGGCGCCGTGGAAGCGCTCGAGCAGCTCCGCGCCCACCTCTCGGAACGGGGGCAGCTTCTGCCAGCAGGTGCGCAGAGCGCATGAGCCCGACAGCCCGTGGCACTTGCATTCAGTGCGCGTATGGCTCCGCACCGCCTGCAGGGAGCAGAGAGCCGGTGGATGGAGACAAATGTGGGGTGCGGGTCGCGGAAAGGGCCAGAGGACCGACAGACAGAAAATAAGCGTGTGTGTGTGTGGGGGGGGCAGAATGGAAGAGAGGAAAGAGCAGACAAAAAAAAAAAATGAGAGCGCAAGGTGAGGAATCGAGGGTGGAGGGTAAGAATGACAATGATGGAGAGGTAGAAGTGGGGAGTGGGGGAAAGAATGCAGCGCAGGGATTCTGGGATCCAAAGCCAGAGAATGGGGAGAAAGTAGAATGGACTGAGCAGGTGAGAATCTCCCTGGAGCAGGGGAGGTGGTGGTGGTAGCTGTCGCACCTTCTCCCTCCTGCCAACCCTCAAGGCACCAGGCAGGGCTGAGCAGAGGCGCAGAGCCCGCCCCTTGGGCGTCTGTCTCCACCATCCCTCCCCAACCCTCTCTGACAGGTATGTGGGCCTGTCAGGACATACCTCTCTGGGCCCCTTCTTACCCCCTGCCCATGCCTCACTCAGCCCCAAACTCTAGAAAATACAGGATATGTGTGGGGATGCCCCTAGAGCACCCTAGAACTGAGGCAGGGGCCCACTGTGGACGCACTACTGAGAACTGGAACCTAGGCGTCCTGCCCTCTATTTGCTGTTTCTGTCTAAGAGTCACACCCCACTAGAGATTTATGGGGCCAAAAGCCCCAGGAAGATCATCTTTGGAATCTCAGAGTCTAGGGAACAATCTGATTATAGACATGTGTGTCCCTCTCCCTCCCAGGTTCTGTCCTTCCCCTTGGAGACATCTGGCCCAGACAGCTTTCTTGTCCCTAAACAAGCTCTTGGGCCTCCTCCTTGCAGAGGGAAGGGGAGAGGCTGCCCGAGTCTGGGCAGGGCCTGGTCTAGGGTTGCTGGGAGGCCAGTTGACAAGAGCCCAGATTCAGTCACAGCTTCCTGGCCTCTGCCTGACCCCCTCCTGCCTCCACCAGGATCCAGCCCATTGCCCCTTGGTCTAGCCTCTTTCCAGGCCTCCCTCACACCTCCTGGTTCCCCTTCCTCAAGACCTTTGTCTCCATCCTCTTGTCCCTGCCCTGGCAGCCACATCTCTAACCACCCCAAGCTTTACCCCACCTGCCCTGCTTCAGAGGAATGCCCTCTCTACCTGGGGTCCCTAAAAGCCTCAACCCAGTCCTCTTCCCTGGGTGACAACCTGCCCCAGGCTCTCCCAGCCCCCCAACCAATCTTCCCAAGTGCCCCCCCACCACCACGCTAGTTCCCACACACGTTAACATACTCCTGCACATACACACCCTCTCTCACACCCTCACTTCTCACTTCCACAAAGTGCTCCTACACATTCACCACACTGTCCTACATTCACCCACCACACCACTGTCCCACATCCACTGACACAAGCACACGCTTCCACATTTGTGCGCACACACCCTCTCACACACCCCTGCCCATACTCACCAGCCGGCCCGCCTCATTGTTGTGAAGTTGCACCAACGCTCGGATGTCTCCACTTCCCCGCTTATGCCTCGCATCCATAAAGAGCCTGGACTTCTCGTCCCCGAAGTCCACATCGTCCCCACAGCCTCCCCACTCCCAGGCTGCACTGCCCTCTGGGGAGCCCACAAGGCCAGGGGGCCCAAGGGTGCCTGGCAGGCCAGGGGGCCGCGGTGGGGCC